GGTAAACAATCCTTAGTTTAGCATGCAACTTGTCCTTGCAAGGAATTTGATCTTCTTCTCCTTACTCTCTACCTATTCAGTTAAAACCTCTATTTAAGAGATAGTTCTCAGAGTTCAGAGAACCTATATATCTTAAGCAAAAAAAAAAAAAACATAACTGGTACTGCAACTGCAATATGATATTGAATTTTCATTTATTGGTGTACAACAACTTCTTTTCTACCACCCTTTCTCCTTCTAAGTGCTTTATTTCCTCCAAATGTTTGTTAAACTCACACCCCAATGCATAGATTTGAAAAGGTAATTCACTGTTCATACTTTTTTCCTTAGTCTCCGCTGGTTTCATTTTAAAAGGGGAAGAAAAATTTTCGATCTGTAAAATTTTAGTTTTTTTTTTTTCACCCTTTTTTGTGACTAAAACTTTGTCTTCCACCCCTTTACATGGAAACAAATGCAGCCTTATTAGGAGTTAAAGCTGCAAGCCTACATTTGGATGGAACGTTGCATTAGGGGTGTGCATCCTCTTTAGTCTTTATGAAGGTGGTGAAACAACCAAAAAAGATTCCTTTTCTCTAGGAAATAATAGATAGATAGGAAGTGACATATGATCCACACCTTCTGACCATCTCCTCCTAGGATATGTTATTGGTACACATGGTGTGGTGTGGTGTGAGAGTAGTAGTAGTAGTCTCTTGCATTACCTTCACTTAATTTTAGTGAAATTATCTAAAACCCCCCTTCATATTAATGATAAGTGTAAAACCTCCCCTCACTTAGATATAGATGTGTTCAAACAACCCCTTATCATCAGAGATGTTCCATTAAATGACAAGCAAGAGAATGCACAATTAGTACTCTACCCATCACACAGTATACTATCCAAACATGTATATTTTATTATACCCAGATTGCCCTTAAATAATGGGTGTTCTATAAATGAACAAAGTGCCACTGGCCTAGAGATGAAGGACCTGTTTTAAGTGACATTGTTGAGCATGAGGATGTATCAATGTCAGGTGCTGGTGCATTAAATGGATGGCATGGCCATGGTCAAAGATCTTTGCAAGTATTACATGACTCGGTTTTTATATTTCAATTTAGGTAATGCCAATGAACAACCACATCAATGTACTTCTTTGTTTCTTTATTGGTATATGATATATGATGTTTTGATTTCACTTTTATTAAACCCAAATCAAATATCCGCTTTATATAGTTTAGATATATGAGTGAAAAAAAAGATAAAAAGATGGTTATAGCATATGATAGGGGTATTTTTGTTATTTAAAATTTACTTTTCATGAGGTATAAGGTAAATATATGATTTACAAAACCTTGTGAGAGGGGTTTCGGTGGGGGTACCTAAAAGGGGAATGTCTTAGACATTGTATAAAGTGAAGGAGATTTGAGATAATTTCCCAAGAAAAGTTAAGTGGATAATGCTCGATCATACAGTTGAGACCAATGTTGTCAGAAGACTCAGATCGGACCCAGCAGTCGAACCGCTGACCCAGTGAGTTTTATGGGTCCCAGATTTGACAGTTTTTATGGTCTGAACGATCTCACTGATGGTTAAACCAGTAAAATCGTGACCCAAAAGAACTTTTGGGTTTCTTTATCCGGTTTGAGTCTGACATACATTGGGTGAGACAACAAAATAAATCTATAGAGATTCCCACAGCTCTCTCTCTCTCTGATGAGTACCTTTTCCTTTATGAAATTTGCTTGTCCCGCTCTAGATGATGACAAAGTCTTTTGTTTATGCCGTCAAAGGATTAAGACCCAATTAATGTTTTTTGTTTTTATTTTATTTTTTTTCTTTTTCCAAGGAGAGTTACTTTTATGCTGAAAGCTAAGGTAGCTTTTCAAAGAATGCTACTATTGTATGTTTGAGTGTGCTATGGTTGGTTTTTATATAATAATAATAATAATTAATGTTAATCACTGTTCAGAAGATCAGTGGACATTTCATAATGATTCCATACATCTAATCACTTTATTACGTACACCTTTATAGCAGAGAAGAGTGTCTAGGCGTGAGATTTAATTTGTGTAGTTACCAAGGAAAAAAAAATTCAGGATTTAGAATGGTCACTGTACCACAGTGAAGTTAGAAGATCCAGGATCTGCTGCACTTCTTTGTGCTTTGTGCTTGTGCAGCAGATGGAGACTTAGGTTAGAAATCTTAACAAGGTTCAAATTAGGCATGGATACAATGTAGCCAATACAATAAGCTGATACAATTGGGCTGATGAGGGGCAGAATATACCCTTTGAGTAATAGAGACTAAATTTCAATACATATCTAAATTACTAAATATTAAGTTTTTTATGTTTTTAATTCTATTAAAATATAATACAAAAATGTATATCTTCTAATACTTGTAAAATGCATAAATTTTATTATTTATATGTATAATATATTAGTAAACGTGTACGCTGCATTTGTGCATTTGTACGTGACAGTATGTTTAAGACAAAGTTATTTATAATTCATGGATAGTTTATGAATGGTTACAAGTGAGCAGTTTCTAAGCCCTCTTTATGTCCTCCACTATGAAAATTTCAAAAAGAAAGGGCATTCCTTATTTTATATAGGTAGTATAAATATAGATTGTTCAATTTTGAATACAGTTGATTGGTTATAAATTCTTTAGGTATAATATTATAAACCTTTTTAGTAGATTAATGCATTAATGCATGTGTGATTAGCATACAAATGTGAAACATAGGTACATCTCTTAATTGCCTTTCTGATACGGATTCTTAGAACCTTGCGAATAATTCCACACCCTCAGACGATGACGATTCAAAACACACAGCTTACTCATTCAACTGCTCTCTCTCTCTCTCTCAACTATCTATATATATCGCTTGAGATTTCATCATCATCATCATCCAGTCTTTGCCAACTATATGGTGCTTAAATCATTGCTTGTTATTCTCGCCCTTGTTCTTTTTGTCTACTCCTACTCCTTTTAGCCCCTTTAACTTTAAATTGCAACAGTGATCACATCTTCTTATGGGTTCTGTCACAAAGTAGTTTCACTGAGGTTTCCCTTATATTTGAAAAACAAAATTATCTTGGGATATTGGCATATTCGTCAGGCTATCTAAGCTCGTTGAATCTTCAAAATAGAAACTTCTGCAACTTCCTCTAAACCTTTCAATATTGTTTCAGTTATCTCTCTTTCTTTTTTATTAATTGTCTCTGTCATTTTTAGTATTCTCTTCTGTGATCGATATTCAAATTCTATCATCCAACCAAATACTGAATAGACTGGGTTTCTAGACGCCTGAAGAATCCCGTAAAGACGTAGAAAGTAGTGGTATTTTTATATGGAGGGAAATTTTTGGTTTCTACAATACGTACTTTTACCGAGCGCCATTTCCATTTTCCTATATCACAACAACTGACGCAGTGGGTGGCTCTTAGCTCTGAAACTGTTCAATGACTTGAGTTAACTCTCAACGTAAATTTAATTAAAACACAACTGAATGAAAATTATTTCTGGAGATTTGTTGTAGACCCTTCGTCTTAGACAAGTACTGATTAGATCATGCCTTAGACTTTGCTTGCTCCATCCACTCCATTATTAGTTTATGCCCTTTTCTCTCTCAACGAATGAAAACCACAGACCTTTGATATACAAAATATATAGATATATTGAATTGAGCCAATCGTCGGATGCATTTTTCCTCCATATAGATCGACGTTATCCTATTTCTTTGATCACCATTTCCTAATGCTACGAAGCACCAAACTTTTGCATGCATTCACTTCAAAGCAGCGGTTTTCTGTAAAACCAATTCTTATGCATTCATACTTTAATGCAGTGTTCTTGTTCAGGGCCTCAGGTGGTAGTCATTCCACCGAGACAAGGTTCTTCCTCTGATTTCATTCCTTCTCGACAGAACCTAGTGTCTCGGAGCTTTGGTAGATTGATCAAATGGTATTGAAAATTTGCGTCCTGGGCTTTCGGTTGAATATATATATATAATAACCTCTTGATCAAGTTAGAATGTGATCTGGGCATTGTTATTAGACTGGAAAGTAGCAGATTTATATGTAATTTCTTTTACTGAATGCTGAGTTGCATCCGTTAGTAGGTCACTGATCCAGTCAGCTATATAGCCATACTGAGCAAGCCCATCAGTTTCCCAGTTTAACAACAATGAGAGATGTGTCGAGAACGAAATGCTTTTAGTTTTTTAGCTAGGCAAATGACCTCAAGCGCCCATTGCAGGGGGCTCTAATAAGTCAGACTGGTTTGAGTTGAGTTGAGGAGTAAGTAATTAAACTGAAGTGTTGAGCTAGCTCCTCCTCTTCAAGTAGTCCCCGGCCCCAGAAATAGAAAAGATGCACAGACTAAAGAAAGGAATAGAACTAATAGATACAGACTAACTAACTAAATAAGAAAGGGAACTGTAGATTCAAAAACACAATTTTTACCGAGACCCATTGAAGATGACAAGAATCTTATATATACCTGCATAAACGTGCCTCGGATCCTGTACTTCACTGCTTCAACAACTCTCCTTTTCTTCTTCCTTTCTAAGATAAGAAAAATAATAATATATGTTACTATAAGAGCGTGCATGCACCTATCATCGCCATTATCAAGGACCCTCGTGATCATAACATAATGATGATCATCATCTCACATGCATTATCATGCACATAGAGGCAAAGATGAGAGATCAAAGCAATCAAAGAGACGAGAATTCATGATAGCTAGTGTGTCGTGCCCCCCCATGCACATTATTTGAACAGGTGTCTCAGTCACAGACGCTTTCGTAGTTTCTGTTTGTTGTTGGACTGAAAAGGAAAGAAGCAGCTCTTTGGGTGAAACCCCAAAAACAGTGAATTCAGTGGTCCCACGTAACCTAAAGGTGTAACTGGGCTACTGACAAAGGGTCGAAGAAAGTGTTAGTAATAGTGGTAGTCGGAGCTCAGAACTGTGAGAGAGAGAGAGAGAGAGAGAGAGAGAGAGCCCGGTAGAAGGTGGTCAAGTAAATAATTCAGTGACTGCAGATGACAACAGATGAGTACAGAACAGTCTCAGATTCTGCTGTTCATGTTCATAGCAATAGATATCTCTCTGCCCTTTCTCTCTCTCTCTCTCTCTCTCTTATCCCTGTTTCTCTCTCTCTACCCATCTATCTATCTATCTAACAAAGACATCCACATGTGATAACCATTCTTAATTAGTACAAGACTAAAAGTCTAAACTTCATATACTAATAATAATACACAGAATGAACCATGGTCTTCATCATCATCTCTCTCTCTCTCTCTCACCACTGCATATAGCCATATACTACCTAAAAAAATTTAAAACTCAAGGAGTAACAGAAGTTTGTAAACTCATATGCATGCACATTAATAGTACGCAGAGACATGGCCTCCATTACCATTATCCTCATCATTTTCATCGTCATCTTCATCCTCACAGAACTCGACGCCGTGGGGTGCATGACCGCCTCCAAAGGCACGGATATGGTCCTTCAGGGACCTCTTGTGCTTGAAATCAGAGCCACAAATACAAAACCAGAGCTTTCCGCAGTTCTTCTCATGAGTACGCCAGTCACCCCGTACTGCAAAAGCCTTGCCACATTTACGACACCCAAATGGCTTGGCTCCGTGCTTTCTCTTGTAATGCGTCTGTAGTGTCCTGAAGTCCTTCAATGGCTTCGATCTCGGGTGCTCAATATTATTCTTACATCCTTCAGCACAGCAGTAACACGGCAATCTCAGCATCGATGACGCTGGCTTCGTCCCCCTCAGTGACTCTGGACCCTTGCGATACTGTGAACCATGCCCCCACATATGCATCTACCAACACAGAGAAATAAAAAAAACACAAAGAAAGAATTAGCTAACCTAAGCTAGAATGATCCAGTGCAGAAATCCTTAGCTTAGACCAATTAAAATAAGTGATAGTGGTCGGCCATTTTGAAGAACCTGCATATTGTTGTATCTATTGAAGGTCTTGTTGCACACAGAGCAAGAAAATTGAGTTGGGCCGACAAGGATTTGAGCAGGCGAGGGAATCCAGTACTGTCCCTCGACCGGGGCACCATTGTTAATGCCATTGCTTGTGCTAATGCCGACACTAGGGGGTCCGATATGAAGAGCTACGGTTACACTCTCTTCACTGCTATGGTTCACAAAACCACTCTCAGCCTGGTCGGAGGAGTACTGATGATGATGATGACGACGAGAAAGACTGACCACTTTGGAAATGTGTTGGCCTGGAGGGCGAAGGGTGAGAAGGACTGACTCTTCATCTTCTTCATTCGCTTCTAAACAAGTACTCTCAGTAGTCTCTGTAGAGAAGTGGCTAAGAGAAGGAGTTGGCATGGTGATCGATCGATGGATGTATGTAATAAAAAATAAAAAATAAAAAAAACAAAACAAAAATGAAAAGGGATATATGTTGGGGTTTTTGGGTTCCGCCGGGGAAGATGAGTGGGGACGAGACGAGAAGAGAAGAGAAGTAAATAAACAAACACAACAGGGGAATGATTTGATTTGAGTAGGGTTTTAGTTTCTTTGGATTAATATGAGAGAGAGAGAGAGAGGGAGGGGGGCATGGCGGTATGCACGTGGAGCGGGTGGAAATTAGTTTTGGCGTGTTTGGGAATGGGGGAGACAAGAGACCGTCAAAGAAGGAGAGGTGGGGAGGGAGAGATGCATGGAATGGCGTACCAAAAATACACACTCTCTCATTGCGTTTGTGCTGCTGCTCTGCTCGGTTTCCGAGCCTTCACTCCAGCCCTTCTTTTTCTGCTTTCTCTACTCCCGCTTTCTTTCTCTTTTACCTCTCTATCTCCATATATATATCTCTCTCTCTCTCGTACCTTTCAGTCAGTTTGATAGGGATGCATGGGAAGTCATAGACAGTAGTACACACTTTAGCAATGGAGAAACGCTACGTTGTCGAATGTAATCCATGAAGAAATTAGGACCCTATATATCGTAGTGTAAAGTTTAGCATTTGTCACACTTTGGTTTGCTAGTCACCAAGTTTTGGGATCACAGCCTGGCGATAAAAGTAGCCATTGATTCAGTAAGGTCTCTCCCATGTTTTGTCTATTTTCTTGATGGCCCGTCTGATTTCGGTAGCAGGGGGATCACATGGTTGGCTCTTTCTATTCAAATGGGTTGATCACTTGATTGGTTGATGATGTCAAAACATACATACATATACACAACCCCATGTCCATGTTTCAGTTGACCATCATATATAGTATTAGAAGAGGAGCCTGATCGATGCATGGTCCCAGACTTGATGCTGCGACTACGACACTTAATTGGCTGATGCTGTGTCACAAGCTCAAGCCGCCTTCCAACTGCTGTGCTGCTGCTGATGCTTGAACTAGCACTATTGCAGAACCCCAGATAGCAAACTCGAGTTATATATGGGGGGTCAAGCCCCGACTCAATTCATTGAAGCATGTCCCCCTTTTAAAACTTATCTATCCATGACTACAATATAACTTGTCTTAAAACTAATTAATTAGAAGAGAGTGGAAATAGCAAATTTATTAGTACTAGACTACTAGTATTGCAATTTATAAAACCAATCAATGCGATTGTGCTGGCCAGGTCATGACGCAAAAATTGTGTACCGCACCGCATGTATTGATTATTTGAACCATATATACCTTAAGAAATGTGAAATGAAGAGGGATTTTACTTTCTTTTTTTTTTATATTTTTGACAATGTTTAATTTTATGAATCAAAAAACTAGTAAAATGGCGTGCCCCTAACAATAAAGATAGATGTACCACATCTTTCCTTGTTGGGCAACTTGGCATCAGATGAAGAAATCCTTAACTGTTGGGGAAAGGAAGTAAAAGAAAAATGTGCAAATTCTCTGTCCCCACTTTGCAGAGTTTCAAACAGAAGAGAGAAAAAATGAATAGTGATTTTTCATAATGCAACCATAATGGAAGTTGATTTTCTGGCTTTATGCATGTCACCATGTCAACAATTTTAATTAATTAATTTCTGTTCTTGGACCACCTTCTCGATCGGGATGGCCATTATATATTACCCAGTTCTAATCTATAACTCTTTATAGAGTTGTTTGGCCAGAAGAAACAAACGAAGAGACAGACAGATCATGTCAACTTGACTGCAATTCCACTAAGTTTCCAGCTTTACAAAATAATATATATCAATATATGTTATATGTATAAAGCAAAGTAAAACCAAACTCTCTGCTTCACTGCTTGTGTTGAATCAGGTCAGTTATTACTTATTAGTGAGTTAGTGCTTCTTTCTTTCTTTATTATTATCTTGATGGATCATAAGTATGATCTATGGACGATGCGTTTGTGGACAAATGCCCAACGTAGTAATAGTTGGCCCACTGTTCCTGCAATATTAGTACATGTTACGTGTCTCATGAGTCGTGACACATGGAAGAAAATGTGACCTCACACCTTTTTCTAATCAATTGGTCGTTTCTAGCACAAAAATTTAAATATCCCTGAGACCTCTACCACGGAGGGGGGAGGGGCATGGAAATAATAAGTATGAATTCAGAGTCTTTAAAATATGGATTCTTGTGCAATTTGCTAGAATTAGCCATTCAATTCGGTTGTTTAGATAATTGTCATTGTGAAGCATTCAAAACATTTTGTCCAATTTCTTTTATGTATTGAATCCAATTATATATAAGTCAGAAGACTCAAAATCTTTTTCAAATGAAACTCTAGTATTCATTCACCCCAAATGAAACTGAAACCTTGGAAAATTAAAAAGCCTGGATCGGTTCAAAGTTAAATCTCATTCCACAAAGCACATAAGTAGATACCCTACTTAGAGAAATAATGCATCAAAAGAGTGTTCATTATCTTATTGGGTGCTTGGCTTGATTAATTCGTCTCTGCATTAATTGATAACCACTTCTCCTAGACTGCATTTAATAACAGCTGAAGAGGCCGGAGTAAATGACTTCTTAATGTTTGTCTTTCAGTGAGTAAGCTTTGAGGAAATTGTGAGCCCCTTAATGGCCGGCTGAAATTGAAGTTGGGTTGATTGTAAGGGTGTTAATGGACCGGTTTTGGATTGGGCCCCGTTCAGTCTAAATCGATTTGTATAGATTGGACAGACTAACAAAAGATATTGGATTGGACTAATCTGGTTCAAAATATTTATTAGATTGGATTAGACCTGATCTGTTCGAAATAAATTTATATTAGATTGGATTGGATTAAGCTAGTATCTAGTCCATTGATATAAGATAAGAATACAAGTGTCAATGGATCAGGTTTGGATTGAAACCAATCTAAATCAAAATGAATTTGAACAAATTAAATGGTCCAAAATATTCATTGGACTGGATTGGACCTGATCCATTTATAATGGACTCACATCGAACTGGACCGGAATCCAATCCAATTGACACCCCTAGTTGATTGTCATGATATTATACCCTTAAAATATTTTATGTATCCACTATAAGACTATAAGACAAAGCAATAGGCCATTGGCTTCAGCCATTAATTCAGCTGTTATAAAACGGCTCCAAAGTGATATATAGTACAATTCGTGAACTGGGAGTCGGTTTTCTGTGATCAGACACACTTCTTCATGAAATCCCTGTTATGTGCACTTCCAAACATGTAAAGGGTTGTAGCTTTCCAATTTCATGATTCCCATCTGCCAATTCTCACATGCATTTCCAATTCTGATCTCCTTTTCCTTGCAGGAATCAGTACCTTGAATCACATGAAAGGTTTTTCTTCCCAATAGTGAAATAATAACGGGTTCAAGGAAACCCATATCAAGTTGAAATGTTGCTTCTTGATTGTATCTTCCAATTTATGAAGCAAAAAATATGCAAACATGCTCAAAGCTATAGCCACACATCATTCTCCCACTCGGCAATCATTGCAGAATTCTCAAAAAAAAAACAGGCTTCTCTTTAAAAGTGCCAAACAATGCTTTCGTTTATACAGGCAAAAGGGTGCATGCAGCTTAAAATACAATAATGAAAATTTACTCACTGCAGAGTGCAGACACAACCTGGTTATTAATTTATAATTTTTAGTTATTAAAATATTCTCTTTTCACTTTTTTAATTTACCTATACTATATAAAATGAATATTTGTCTTAATTTCAATGCAACTCATAAAAGTTAAATTAGAGTATCAAATAACATCTTTACCCATCTCGAAATGTTGTATTATGTAATCTTATACTAGTAAATATAAAAATGATTTATATAAATAATTAAGAGGATATACTATGTTCCAACTTACAAGAGGGGCCATTACTTGGTATAGGTAAAATTTTGGATTAGTATATAAGTGTGAGAGCATTCTGAGAGTTGCCATTAGGAGTGTTCACGGTTTGGTTAACTAAATAATGGGCCATTTTTTTGAAATTGAACCAATACCATCAATTTTTTAAAAAATCATGAACCAAAGCCAATCGATTTTATATTTATATATAAATTTATATATAATATATGAATAATATAGTATATATATATATATATATATTAAATAAATAAATATATACTGGTCAGTTTGATTAACCGCCGGTTTTCCTTTTACATTAACTGAAAATCAAACCAGCACCACCGTTTTTTTTTCGATTTCCTCAGCCTATTAGCTACTTTGTGCCAAAAAAAAAAAGTTTGTTAAAACCATATCCAGTCTACCCCTCCCAAGACCCCAGATAGTTGTGAGCTAACATTAGTTAATGGCTTTTTTAATACACTTTGTTCCAAGAATTTAAATAATACTCACCCTCTCCCTACTCCCTTTTATGTGAGAATCAAGGCTATCATAAACCTATTCATGCCATGTTACGCATCCATGTGCATACATAGTCATTATACTCAATTTAAGTGAATACCTAAACAATAAAATTTCCCTGTGTCACGATATGAATTGAATCTTGTAGGGTTTCTATAAAAAAAATAAACTTATTTCTTTGTCTTTTTAATGAAAATGAATTAAATAATAAAATATTTATGACATCATATAATCAACCCATATATGCAACTTCATTTCTAATTCATTAGCTGTGTTAAGCAGTTAGTATCTAGATGGAGTTGATTCAGCTTCTACCAGGTCTAGAGTCTCACCCTACAGTTACATGTAAGTAACCTTGCTTAATTTCCATAGTATGTAATATACTAATATCACATCATCTTCTCTCTTATCTACTTAGTGGCTTTCCATTGTTCATTTACATGGTCTCCTTTTCTTTCCATGGAAGTGGATGAGAATTGGCTCAGCACACTAGATCTATTCTACATTCAATATCACATCGATCTTTCATCCACACAGCTAGCTTTTCTCCTGTCAGACACCAAAATCTAGGGTTTATCTTAGTTGGAAAAGGAGAGAACCTTTTTTGGACTGTTCTATAATCATTGCACAACTAAACTTTAAATTTTGTACAAATTTTTTTTGTCTGTATCGTTTCTTCCCACTTCTCTCTTTGTCATGCTATACGTATCAAATTGAATGACATCCACAAAGTCCTTGTTCAAATTTTCTGAGAGTACATTTAGGCTGTATTTGGTTTGAAGGAAAAAGTAGGGAAAGGAAGGGAAAGGCAAGGAAATCTATACAAAGTTTGTAAAGGTTTTTCTATATTTCCCTTCTTTTCCTTACCTTTTCCTTCAAACCAAACATAGTCTTAGAGAATTTACACATCTCCCCCCTTTCTAAGAAGATCCAACATGCACACACCTAATTAACTAGTTGCTTGACCAACCTTGTTTAATAAGTTAATGAGTATGAGAGAGAGAG